CAACAAGCTCAGGTTGAGGTTTCGTGTCAGGTTTGTAGGGCTAAGAGAGCAGTTTTTGCTCAATGTCCAAGATGCGTGGAGTTCCGAAAATATTTGGAAAACGCGAAAGGGTAATATTTGTTATTGCAGCATTCGAAAGAGCGTTTCCTGAGCTTTAAGAAATGTCTATTGCAAAATTTTTAGCAATCCGTTTTCATACTAAAAATTGCTCCCAAAGTTCGGATAAAATTTTTGTACATTTGGTCCTTAAAGGGTTAACTCATATACCGCCATCTTGTAAAACATGCGCAGAAGTGTAATTTAGTAATTATTGCTGCGCAGAAGTTTACCACCACACTTGGACATGCGCAGTAGTGCAATTGAGTATTTATTGCTGCGCAGTAGTCTACCACTACACTTGGACATGAGCAGTAGTGAAATTTAGTATTTATTGCTGCGCAGTAGTCTACCATTACACTAAGACATGCGCAGTAGTGCAAATTGGTAGGTGTTGGTGCGCAGTAGTCTACCATTACACTAAGACATGCGCAGTAGTGCAATTTAGTATTTATTGCTGCGCAGTAGTTTACCACCACACTTGGACATGCACAGTAGTGCAATTTAGTACTTATTGATGCGCAGTAGTCTACCATTACACTAAGACATGCGCAGTAGTGCAAATTAGTATTCTTCGCAGAAATACAACTATGTTAAAAATTTTTTTTTTAATTCTCCTTAAAATTTCAATTATCTTTATAAATATAATTAAATTGTTCTCCACAATTCAATTATTTTCAAAAATTTTAATAAAATTGTACGCAAACATTTAATTATTTTCATAAATAATAACATTCTTTGGAAGGATTCAATTACTTTTATAAAGAGTAAAATTCTTTGCAAAAATTCAATTAATATCAATACATTTTAATAAAATGGAATTAATCAAATTTTCAATAATAATTATGAACATACAAGATTATCTTAAAAAATTGAAAAAACTCTTTGTTTAATTCAATTTTTCAAATTTTTAATTAAAATTATTAAAAAAACATTATTTTCAAAAAATTTAAAGAAACTCGTCAAAAAAATGTAATTGTTTATAAAAACTCTAATAAAAATTCTAGAAACCATTTGTAGATTTATTTATGTTCGAAATCAAATAAATTTAAATTTTTTGAGAAAAAAAACTGGGAATTTTGTTGAACGAAAATAGTAGAAACATTGAATTTATTTATAATTCAATTTTACAAAATAACAATTATTTGTAGATTCTTCAAGTAAATATATATTAGAAAATAAAAACTTGAAATAATTACGTAAAAAATATGAAAAATTATAAATATAATATCAAAAAAAATTTTCCAGAGAATTGTTAGTTAAAAATATGAAGAATTCAGATTCTCAAAGATTTTAATTTACACTCTTTTCAAAATTCAATTATTTACAAAAATTCAAGCTCTCATGCTTTTAATATTAAATTATAATCCAAAACTTAAACTGGAATCCATTATTAAAACAATTTTTATTAGAAAATTCAACTATAATTCAATTAATTAAATTAAAAAAAACAATTTATTGAATAATTGCATGTTTCTTAAAATGGAATTCTCATAACGAATTTTAATAAAATTGTATTAAAATAAAATTTATGAAAATAATTAAATTTTTGAGAAGAAATTTATAAAAAATTTGTAAATAATTGAATTTCTAGAAAATTTTTATTATTTATGAAAGTAATTAAATGCTTGTGTACAATTTTATCAAAAATTTTGTTTAAATAATTGAATTGTTTTGGAAAATTTTATGAAAATAGTAGATATTGAAAATTATTGAATTGAGGGAATTTTTTGAAAATAATTGAAATTTCACAAAGAATTTTATTGAAATTTTTTTAAATAATTGAATTTCGGAAAAGAATTTAATTATTTAAAATGATAATTGAAATTTTTACGAGAATTTATTTAAAGTACATTATGCAACAAACGAGGTTATCTCCCTTGTTGTATACTTTGCTTTATACAACAAAGGCGTATTATGGTTACTCTATGCTACCTGTACCGGTGCATGCTAAGTTCTCCAATATAACCCAGCTGGTCAATATAGTAACCATTATTGCCCTAGGGAGATAAAGGTTACTTTATTGACCTGTGAGCGGTCAATAATGTACCCTTTATCTCCCTAGGACTATAATGGTTTCTTTATTGACTGCTGGGTTATAAGGGGAAACATAGTACGCGCCTGTGCAGGTAGATAAAGTGAACATAATACGCCTGAGATGTATAAAAAAATTTTTTAAACATAATTGAAATTTTTATAAGAATGTCATTACTTTTGAATATATGTAATTGAATTTCTGTAATCATTTGTAATTTCTTTAAAATTATCTAAATTATATTGTACATCATACAAACTTTTCGTCCTTTTTCAAGCAAATTACGGACTTTACGGACCTTTTTTAAAAAAACGGACTTTTACGGATTTCAAGCAAAGTTACGGACCTTTACGGGATTCATGGACTTAGTTATCGACACTTGTACAAGTCTAAAAATATAATTATTAAATTTAATTTAAGATCTGTATAAATATAAGTGCATACTTTTAAACTGTACACGAAACAAAACTACATATGGTTAAAAATTAGAGATCTTAATACAAAATATAAATAAATTTAATACTCTTAGCGTTAAACAACTTATACAGCTCCCATTATGTTGGTAATAAAAGTAAATAATACAGAATAAAGATTATAACAACAAATTATTTTCAGTTTGCAATAGATTTATTGCAAAATACAAAATACTTAACACAATTAATTAGAAGAAATACTTCTTTCTGATTGCAGTATTAATTTCACCCTTCTTCTTTTTAAAAAAAATAAATTTTAATTTCTATTAATAAATAAAAAATCGTAGTTTCTGCGCAAAATCAATATATATCTAATCTATCACATCTTAATACATTGCAAGCTTAATCCCGATATATAGAAAATATCTACTGCTTTTATACAAAAGTATTATTTGTTTTAATAATTATACTTAATTCAAACATATTTTCTGGTATATGATCACTTTTTCTAAAAAATATTTTCTAATCCTTTTTGTCTAAAAAAAGCGGTTTCTAATAAAATATTGTTTTCTAAAAAAGTTTTTCTAAAAACTTATGATTTCTAATATTTAATTTCCTCAAATTTTTGAAATTCTATAATTTTGATAAATGTTAGAAAATTGTTAAAAAATTAAGATTATAAAATAGAAACTATTTTGCATATTTTCTGCTTCACAATCACAATTTTTTCACAAAAATATGAGTTTATTTTTGACAAAGAAGAAAAATTTGATAAAATTCCTATTTCTTATCACAATTTTTTAACAAAATTATTTTCTTTTTAAAAAGAATAAATAATAATTTGCATCATTTTTATAAAAGAATTTCCAAAATTAAAATATTTAGAATATTATTTTAGAAAAATTTAAATATCTTTAGAAAAAAATCCCTATAATTTCAATTTATTAATTACGATTTTTAACTATAGGTTATTTAAAAGTTTTGTTAAAAATTTTTACATAATTTCTATTTTTTTTACAATTTTTTAACGAAATCTCAAGTATTTTTTTTAAGAATTCAAAAATTTTTATAATTTTTAGTCATTACAAAAATAGAATATTGTTAGAAAAAAAATTTGAAAATTACTTTTATTAGAAAAAGAAATTTTCAGAAAATTACCGTTATTAGAAGAAAGAAAATTAGAAAATCACCTTCATTAGAAAAAAGGTTTTTAGAAATTCACCTTTATTAGAATAAAAAGTTTTCGAAAATAAAAAATTAGAAAATACATTTTAGAAAAACTACCCGAACCATATTTTCTGTTTTGGTTTAAAGAAAAAATATGTTTAGAAATTTCATGTATTTGATTCAAACTTAAAAGTTGATTATGAATATTTGAAAATTAACCATAACTTATGTTTAAATTAAATATATTATTTATTTAAATAAACCAAAAAATACCGTAAGTGAGGCTAAATTCGCTCATGTAGGGTAAATTCGCTCAACCGATGTCTCTTTTTAAAATTCGATTAACATACTTTTTAGACAGAAATATTTAAGATTTACAATTGTTTTGGTTAATATAAATGGTAAACTTTAATTTAAAATTTATTTGCAGCAAATTCATTGGTAACTTTCAGTAGAAATTATATATAAAACACAAGTGAATAATTTTCATATTGAACAAGTAGTATGAAAAAGTAGGAAATAAAGCTTTACTTCAAAGTTTTTAAGTTGAATACTTCTGAACATTACATTTCCTGTATCTCCAACATGATTTTCATAAAGCACAAAAATTAAAGCAATAAACAGATTCTGCAAAAAATCAATTTAAAAAAAATTCAAATTTGTTGTGTAAATTCGCTCAGGAAATAAGTCTACAAAAAAGATGTTTGGGCCTGGATATTTTAAGTATGTTAATTACTATAATTTATAATTCGATTTTTTTAAATAATAGTACTCTTATAACTGAAAATTAAACGATTTAAAACGGTTTAAGCACTAAACTGTCAAACTTAAACTTGTTTTTTATGGTTATGAGTACGTTTGATTGAATGATTGAATCTAATTACTTATTGATAAAACAATATTAAATATTTATTCCAATAACTTTGTATATTGTTCTTAATTTTTTTCTTTATTGATTCTAAAGAATATTTAGTTTCATTTTTGTAGATTATAATATATTTTGCCAGAATAATAATGGTGAGCGAATTTACCCATCATTTAAAGGTAAAGTCGCTCACAAAAAAACGGCTTATAAATAATTTTCTGCAACATATTTTAATTTCTTTATGCAGTAATAGGAAAGATAAAGGGTTAAAGATTATATATTTTCAGTGCCAATGTTTATTTTCATCGTTTCCCGAAGTTATTTAAAAAAGAATTGAAAAATTGAGCGAATTTAGCCTCACTTACGGTATGTTTGAATTAAACTTAAATATGTTTGACTGTAAAGCAAAGATATTTTAAGTTTGATTCAAACAAAATTTATTTGCATGAAATAAATCGTTTTCTCAGTGTACAATTAAGAGGAGAGACCGGTGAAATTTTAACCCATCTAAATTTTTATTGTTTATGGGTGGTTAATGTTTTTTTTAACAAAATTTGGTATTTTAAATTATAATATGCTTCGAAGAATTAAATAAAATTTAATTAGTTAACAACGTAATTATCGAAGGGTTCAAATTTCACTGGTCCCTCCACTTAATTAAATTAATAATTAATTAATTTTCTATCATTAGTTCCGTATTGCTACTACCTGTGCTCTCACTGCAAACACTTTCATCTGATTGCGGTGTTAATTCTACCCTTCTTCTTTTTTCTTGAACGAAAGTTTCTTCTTTTTCCAATAACAGTTCTTTGTTACTGCGCACAAGCAAAATGTCATCTAATATGTCATGACTCAAGTTAGTGCGCAAATCTGATAAAATAAATTTCATACTCGAAAATAATCTTTCCACACTAACTTGAGTCATAGGGGCCGCGTGAACAATGTTGGACAGTGAGTACAGTTCAGGAAACAAATCTTTTTTAGTTTCCCAGTACTCCAGAAGGTTTTCGTTCTTTGGAATTCTGGGAATTTTCAGAAAGTCATCCAACAATCTTTCTATTGGACAATTCCCACTTGCGATTCTAATTTGGCGCTCAGCATCTTTCCTTTTTAGTAATAACTCAAGTAAATCGTCCTCTGCCACATCCATCACCTATAAATGATATGATATTCTATATTTGACTATTATTTTATTTAAAAAATATTAATACTTTTATAAAATGTAATATTTATTCTCTTTGAAAATAATACCACATTAATTTTAAATTATGCAAAAAAATAGTTTTTACTTCAACAAAACTACAAATTTTTTTAACTAGCAAGAAATTTGCAAAATTTTTAATTTTTTAGAAGATAAACACACGGACCAAATTTCTTATATTATAGGTGTTGTAACTTTTGTTAATTTGAAGAGGTAAAAAAGAAAAAACAAGAACCATCTGTGATCTATGTAATTAACATTAATTTTCAATAAAAATGTCATCTACTGTAGAAGCAATGGAAAATTGGCAGAAATTGCAGATAAAAAAAATCACTGTTGACACAGGTCAGGGAAATCAAGAATTCAAGAAACAGTCAAGGAGTTTCATTAAAAGGACTAAAAAAATTAAATTTTTAGAATTAGTAAGAAAATTATAAATTTTTGTGTCTTTTTTTAGTCTCATAAACTATTAAGTGAATTTAAAAAAAACGACTCAAAACACGAATTTGATCCACAAATATTAAAAAAAATTTGTGATATAACAATAGCATATTTCCATGTATTTTTTCCTGCAGAATCCGGATTCAAAGTCAGAATTGACAGATGTGCTCAAAATTTTGAGCTAAACTCAAAAAACGACTCAAGAAACTGAATTAAAATGACGAAAATGAAAAATTTCTTCCGTGACACTGCAAAAGTATATTCCCATGTATTTTTTCACGCTGAATCCGAATTCGAAGTAAAAATTGACAGATTTGCTCAAAATTTTGAGATAAGCTCAAAAAATTGATAAAAAAAGCGATTTAAAATAAAGAAATGGAAATTTTTTGCTATGACGCCTTTTTTATCAATTTTTTGACCTTATCTCAAAATTTTGAGCAAATCTGTCAATTTTTACTTCGAATTCTGATTCAGCGTGAAAAAATACATGGGAATGTACTTTTGCAGTGTCACGGAAGAAATTTTTCATTTTTGTCATTTTAATTCAGTTTCTTGAGTCGTTTTTTGAGTTTAGCTCAAAATTTTGAGCACATCTGTCAATTCTGACTTCGAATCCGGATTCAGCGGGACAAATATATGGAAATAAGCTATTGTTATGTCACAAAATTTTTTTTTAATTTTTTTGGTTCAAATTCGTGTTTTGAGTCTTTTTTTGAGTATAACTAAAAAAAAACCAATTTGAGCATTCGGATTCGGATTGTGTGCCTGTGTAATTATATCTTTTAATTAATTCATGGAATTCAATTATAGCGTGAATTTTTAGAAATAATTGAATTTTGAAAATGTTTCAAATTAAAATCGATGAAAATCTGAATTTTTAATACTTTTATCGAACAGTTCTATAAAATTATTTTTTTGACAAAGTTTAATTGAATTTTTTTTTAGAGTTTATCAGAGTATTCTTTAGAGTCAGGGAAAAAGTCAAAATTTTGTCTGGAAATCAGAGAAAAGTCAGGGAAAAACAAAATTAAATTTTTGTGTCAACCCTGAAAATATTTGTATGGGTGTATTTTTTAAAACAACATTTTCAAAAGTAAATTGTGAAAACTTAGATTTTGATATTTTTGTCGAAATACAATCAATACTAAAGTTGAGTTAAGCATAAGTGAATAAAAATTAAATAATATAAAAATATTATTACCTGGCTCGTTTCACTGGATGTTGTCGAATTGAGAGAAGATATCCCCCTAAGCTCAAATGACGTTCTGTGTAAGGTATTCCACACCCTAATGAGAATACTCTTTGCTTCGATGGAGTTTTCTGCACTCAACACAGTTAATTACCTCGGATCTAGACATAATGAGGCAAGAAGTGCCTCATTATTTAACAGATTAATTTCTCTATCTTCCATTGCGTCCACTAATTTTTTGGCAAAATTTGTTTTCACTTCTCCTGTTAGGAGTTTACACTCCATCCAGGTTCCGTAAACGTCACCAGGTACCAAATCTTCGGTCTGCAATTTTAATGTAGCTTTCTTGCAGGGAATTAATGCTTGAAGGCAATCTTCAACTCGACGCCACTCTCTTTCTGATAAAAACAGAGCATCTTTAGTGGAGGAGAAATCCATGCAAAATTCTTTTGCAGAAAGTAAAGAAGATAACATGTTGCATGTAGAGCTCCAACGTGTTACCACATCTAATGTGGGTTTCTTAACACTATATTTTTTTAATGCCTGCAATGTTGCCTCATTCCTCAATGCCTTTACGGCATTTCTAGCCTAAAATTTAATTTTTAAAATGTATTTAACAAAATACTTATAGTTTTAAACGTTCAAATGTACGACGATATTTTTTTACTTCTTTTAATTTGCACTTTATTGTAAAAACTAGCAAGTGTTATGCGCGCGGAACGAGATATTCAATTTATTATTATTATGCAACTTAAAAAATTTTTTATTTTCAAATATAAATTTTTAAATAATTTTATAATCAAAATTAAAATAATTCACTTATTAAATGCATAATAAATTGTCATTTCTTCTATATTTAAAAATAATAATGTAATTAATTCAATTATTTTCATAAATAATAAGATTCTTTGAAAGAATTCAATTATTTTTAGAAACAGTAAAATTTTTGCGAAAATTCAATTCTTTTCAACAAAAATTTTAATAAAATTTCACAAAATAATTAATTATTTTTTAAGATTTTAATAAATCCTTCGAACCAATTAAATTAAATAAAATCTTGTCAAAAATTCAATTGCTTTTTCCAATAAAATTTCATAAAAGAATTCAATTTTCTTCTTAATTCGTTAAAAAATTTTTGAAAATAATTCAATTATTTTATAAAATTTTTATAAATCCTTCAAAACAATTCAATTATTATTATAAATAGTAGAATTCTTCGCCAAAATTCAATTATTTTTAATACAATTTTAATAAAATATCATGAAAGTAGGGGAAAGGCTTGCAAGTTGTTCGGCTTACGTTATTTTTTATTGTAGAAATGCCATAATTATTATTAAGAAATGCGATTCTTTTTTAAACTTAAAAAAAAATCTTCATAAATTTCAATTACTTTCCAAATTTTCAATTATTAAAGAAATTCTACTGCAAGAATTAAATTATTTTCATAAATAATAACATTCTTCGAATGAATATAATAATTATCAAATTTTTTGTTAAAATTCTTTGCAATAATTCAATGATTTTCAACACATTAATTTTAAAATTGAAAATATTTGAAAATAAAAATGATTTGAAAAGTTAGGAAAAAAAAAGCAAACAACAAACTTTAAACTGCAAAAAGGTTACAGGAATACAACGATTAATAACTCATAGATTATTTTTTCTAAATAATTAAATTTTTAAATATAATTAATTAAAAATTATTCAAATAATTGGAATTTTGTAATGTTCTGTAAGTATTAAAGTATCTCAAAAAATTTTATTCACATGTTTAAAAATAATCCATTTTGTAATGAATTTTAATTGAAAATGAAAAATTTTAATTTAATGTTTATAATTGAAGTTTTACCTTAGAAAAAAACTTAGAAAAATCCCACGGAAAGTTTCCTTCGAAGATTCCAAGAATTGTTCAAGGAACACTTCCTGTAAAATCATCCTAAGTATGTTATAATATAAGTTAACAAATTTATACATTAATTAAGAAATTAATTAAGAAATTTTCATTTATTCTTCAAGGTTGCAGATCAGAGAATTAAAAAAAGTCAGAAGAGTGACACTGGCAAGGAAAATCTTAGAAATATCAACGAATTTTATAAAAAGTATTGAGAGAGATAATAAATAATACTGAGGGAATACTTATTTTAAAAAATTGTAATTTCTGAAAAATTTTAATTTAATTTTTTGAAGATAATTAACTTTTTGAGAATATTTTATTTCAATATCTTAAATAAATACGTATTCTGCAGAATTGCATTGAAAATACTTGCAGTTTTTATATAAAATTTTATTAAAGTTTTTGAAAATAATCGATTTTTTAAAAGAATTTTAATTGAAAGTTCTGTAAATAATTGAATTCTACAAACAAATTTTACAAATTCTGTTAAGAAATAAAAGAAAGATCTAAGAAAAATAATAAATATTTTATGGCGATAGACTTTAAAACAAATTTTTCAGTTAATATTTAATTGTAAATATACTACATCAGATTTGCGATAAAAATTTAATTTTGTTTTTCCCTGACTTTTTGAAATTTATAACAGTTAAAGATGACCCAATGATAAAATAATTATTTTATATTATAAGAATATTGATACATTAACTTCTTCAAAATTATTTTCATCATTTTAATTCAATTATTATTTTCTACAATTTTTAACTAGAATTTTTCTTTAAATCAATTATCTTTAATAATTTCAGAAAAAGCTCTTTAAAAGTTTTTAAATCTACACGGAAAAACCTTTAAGAAGTCTGTCTTCCCACTGTCACAAAATTTCGCTTCTCACTGCATGGAAAGTCTGATCGCCCGCCACTGGGTGCGTAGCATTACCGTTTTCGATAGACAAACTTCCCAAAAAGTTTAGAAAATTACAACTGGGTACGTTGGTCACCCAGTTTAGGAGTGCAGATGAACAAGTTTAGTGGTGGCGCTGACGCATAAGTTTCGGGTGGGCAGACTGCTTAAAGGTTTTTCCGTGTATTTGTTTATAATTCAATTTTACAAAATAAAATATTACTTGAGAATATTACTTAAGAAAATAATTAAATTCCTATATGACATTTTATTATTTTTGAAAATAATTGAATTTTCGCGAAGAAATTTTTAAAAAATTTGTAAATAATTAAATTCATGTAGAATTCTTATTATTTCTGAAAATAATTAGGTAAATGTTGGCGAAGAATTTTATTAAAAATTTTTTTTAATAATGGCATTCCTTTAGAAAATTTTATTAAAATAGTCGATATTGAACATCATTGAATTGAGGATAATTCTTAAAAATAATTTAAATTTTGCCATTAATTTTATTAAAATTTTTGAAATTAATTGAATTTCGGAGAAGAATTTAATTATTTCTAAAGATAATTGAAATTTTCACGAGAATTTTTTTTTTATTTTTGAACGTAATTGAATTTCTGGTGAAGAATTTTATAACTTTTGAAAATAAATACATTTCTCAAATCATGTGTAACTTCTCAAAAATTTAATTTTTTTAAGTGTTTTTAACTTAAATTCTTCTATAAATCAATTAATTTTTAATAATTGATTAAATATATATTAAAAAATTACATAAAACTAATTTCAGAAGAATTTGTATTATTAAAATGTTTTAAAAATCTAAGTTTTTAGAAATTTTTAATTAAGTTTATTCAAAATTGAAATTTTCTAAAATTTCAAATTAAATCCTTTCGAAGTTGATCTATTTAAAAGAATTGTAAATGCAACTCTTTTAAATTCCAATTAATTTTGAAATATTTAAGTAAAATTATTTATTAAATAATTTAAGTAATAATTTTATAATAGTTTTTCAAGAATTAAATTATTTAAGAAGAAATTATTGACAAAAAAAGAAAAAATTGAAAGTTTTGTATTTGAATTTGTGTTAATTTCAAAGTTTATGAGGCAAACAAAAAAGACACCAAAATTTTAACTTTTCTTATGAATTTTAAAAATTTAATTTTTTCAGTACTTTTAATAAAGATCCCTTGATTTTTCCTGAACAAATCTACTTTCCCTGCCTTTTTCCTGAATTCCCTGACCTGTGGCAACCCTGTACATATTGTTAAGAGATGATTTTTAAACTTACATTTTTAAGCTCTTCTTTTATTTTTTCGCGTATATTTATTGCAGAAATTTTAACCATATCATATACTGCTTTTGGTGATATGGTGAATTTTACTTCTTCGTTTAATGCTTCCAATATGGGATTAATAACATCCCTAAATCCCGAATCGTTCACTGCAGAGAATGGTCGACCATCGATTGTCACTAGTTTTACGCAAGCTATGCGTAAAACTTCAGGATTTATTTCTATTCCTCTTTTATTATTCTTGCACTGATTTTGAGTTTCACTTTCTCTTTGTGAATTTTCCTCGGAAATCACTTTTCTATACTCCTCATGATGAAATCTTTTTAAATGCTGCTTAAACGTACCAGCGTGCTTTCCCTGTATAACAAATATTATTATTAATTATTATAAATTGGAACTCAAAAAATTGAAAATAGTAGAAATTTAGAAAACAATTAAATCTATGAAACATAAATAATCAAATGTATATAATTAAATATAAATAATCAATAAATAATTAAATAATTTACACTGAAAAAAATTCCTAGTAGATTTGACTACTTTTTAACTACTCTGTTTGGTTCAATAAGTCTCCAAAGAAATAAAACACTTGTATTAACCATCAAAAAGTAGTTAAAATAATTAAGAACTACAATTCATTGTAGTTTTTTAAACTAATTTTAATTAAATTTTTTTAGATTATTTGAATTTTTTAATATTAATTTATTTCCAAAATTTTTGAATAATCGAAATTTTCTCTTATTAAATGGAAAACAATAATTGCAATTTTTAACAGTAATAAAATTAAAATTTTAGAAAATTATAACTTCTGTGGAAAAATAGATTGTTATAAGTATGTAAGTATTTATTTTGCAAAACGATTTGAATATTTGAATTTTGAAAAAATTATGTTTTGAAAAATTATAATTAAAATTTTTTGAAGACAATTTAATTTACGAAAGTAATTATTTGAAAAATTAATCTTTTTTTTTCAATGAGTGTAATTAAATTTATTTCTTTGGGTCTTATAGGTGATCTTATCCTTTACAAAATTAATAAGCAAAAAGTTTTATTTTCAAAAAACTAAAAAAAATATAATAAAATATATTGCGATTATTAATGCAAATAATATATTTCAAAATTAAACAAGGTTTCTTAAGCATAAAAAATACGAATAAAAAAATTATACTAATATTAAAAATAATATTAATAATAATATCAATAATAATGAAAATAATAAATTTTAAATACTCGTTCTTCAATTAAAAATATTAATTGATTAATAATAACAGTATGGTCTTAATAACAATTTTGAA